GTAGGAAGTGGGAGGAATTGAAAGAGAAGTTGTTGAGTGTGAGGACGAGTTCGGCTAAGCGGATGAGGGTATCAGTGGAGGGGGACTGGTCGGGCCTGCGGGACAGGAAGAAGCGGAGGGCCTTAAGGCCATCTGCATGGGGAATGCAGGTGTAGAGGGACTGGACGTCCATGGTAAAGATGAGGTGTTGGGGACCGGGGAATTGGAAGTTCTGAAGGAGGTGGAGGGCGTGGGTGGTGTCACGGACATAGGTAGGGAGTTCCTGGACCAAGGGGGAGAAAATGGAGTCTAGATAGTTGGAGATCAGTTCGGTGGGGCAGGAGCAGGCGGAGACAATGGGTCGACCAGGGCATTCAGGTTTGTGGATTTTGGGAAGGAGATAGAATCGGGCAGTGTGAGGTTGGGGAACGATGAGGTTGGAGGCTGTGGGTGGGAGGTCACCTGAGGTGATGAGGTTGTGGATAGTTTGCGAGATGATGAGTTGACGTTTTTTCCCTGAATTACATGCTTGCAAAGTTGAGTGTCCCGACAGTGAGGGAATGAAACACTTCCACAACAGACACTGACCTCAGTCTTCAGCTAATTCTACATCTAGTTTAGAATATTTAGTGCCAAGTTTGTTGGCTGTGCCCTAGGAATATGCTTTGAACCACCGGCACTAATAGCAGATAGTTTGAACACACGGAGTGAAGCAGTGTCAAATTAGGATCCGTTTTATGTCTTGTGATCATGGACAAAATGGACTGAAATGTCCAGCTATCATTCACAATAAGTTTTATTTTAACTGCATAAAATATCATTCTTGTGAAAGTTGGCATGACTAGAACATGAAAACATCTTGATAGCTCTGACAGACAATAAGACCATAAGATATACGAGTAGAAATAGGCCATTCAGCCCACTGCATCTGCTTTGCCATTCGAAGAGATCATGGGTGATCTGATAATCCCCAACTCCATTTTCCTGCCTTTCCTCCATATCTGTCGATTCCCGCACGGATTAAAAATCTGTCTATATCAGCCTTGGATATGCTTAATGACCAGCCCCAGTGTAGTAAAGAATTTCTCAGATTCACAGCCCTCAGAAGAAATTTCTCCTCATCTCTGTCTTAAATCCCTTTATTCTGAAATTATGCTCTCTCAGTATGTAAATGGTCCAACTCAGGAAGGGGCCATACTGGACCTGGTGTTGGGGAATGATCCCGGCCAGGTGGTTGAAGGATTACTTTGGGAATAGTGGTCACAATTCCATAAGTTTTAGAATACTGATGGACAAAGACGAGAGTGGTCCTAAAGGAAGAGTGCTAAATTGGGGGAAGGCCAACTGTAGCAAGATTTGGCAGGAGCTGGGGAATGTGGATTGCGAGCAGCTGTTTGAGGGTATATACACATTTGATATGTGGGAGGCTTTTAAAGAGAGGTTGATTAGAGTGCAGGACAGACATGTCCCTGTGAAAATGGGGGATAGAAAGGGCAAGATTAGGGAACCATGGATGACAGGTGAAATTGTGAGACTAGCAAAGAGGAAAAAGGAAGCATACATAAAGTCTAGGCAACTGAAAACAGACGAAACTTTGGAAGAATATCGGGAAAGTAGGACCAATCTGAAACAAGGAATTAAGAGGGCTAAAAGGGGTCATGAAATATCTTTAACAAATAGGGTTAAGGAAAATCCCAAAGCCTTTTATTCATACATAAGGAGCAAGAGGGTAACTAGAGAAAGGGTTGACCCACTCAAGGACCAAGGAGGGAAGTTATGCGAGGAGTCAGAGAAAATGAGGGAGATTCTTAATGAGTACTTTGCATCGGTATTCACTGAGGAGAGGGACATGACGGATGTTGAGGTTAGGGATAGATGTTTGATTACTCTAGGTCAAGTCAGCATAAGGAGGCGGGAAGTGTTGGGTATTCTAAAAGGCATTAGGGTGGACAAGTCCCCAGGTCCGGATGGGATCTATCCCAGGTTACTGAGGGAAGCAAGAGAGGAAATAGCTGGGGCCTTAACAGATATCTTTGCAGCATCCTTGAGCACGGGTGAGGTCCCAGAGAACTGGAGAATTGCTAATGTTGTCCCTATGTTTAAGAAGGGTAGCAAGGATAATCCAGGAAATTACAGACCGGTGAGCGACGTCAGTGGTGGGGAAGCTGCTGGAGAAGATACTGAGGGATAAGATCTATTTACATTTGGAAGAAAATGGGCTTATTAGTGATAGGCAGCATAGTTTTGTGCAGGGAAGGTCATGTCTTACCAACTTGATAGAATTCTTTGAGGAAGTGACAAAGTTGATAGATGAGGGAAGGGCTGTAGATGTCATATACATGCACTTCAGTAAGGAGCTTGATAAGGTTCCCAAAGGTAGGCTGATGGAGAAAATGAAGTCGCATGGGGTCCAGGGTGTACTAGCTAGATGGATAGAGAACTGGCTGGGCAACAGGAGACAGAGAGTTGTAGTGGAAGGGAGTTTCTCAAAATGGAGAACTGTGACCAGTGGTGTTCCACAGGGATGTGTGTTGGGACCACTGTTGTTTGTGATATACGTAAATGATCTGGAGGAAGGTATAGATGGTCTGATTAGCAAGTTTGCAGATGACACTAAGATTGGTGGAGTAGCAGATAGTGAAGGGGACTGTCGGAGAATGCAGCAGAATATAGATAGATTGGAGAGTTGGGCGGAGAAATGGCAGATGGAGTTCAATCCAGGCAAACGCGAGGTGATGCATTTTGGAAGATCCAAATTCAAGAGCGAACTATATGGTAAATGGAAAAGCCCTGGGGAAAATTGATGCACAGAGAGATCTGGGTGTTTAGGTCCATTGTACCCTGAAGGTGGCAATGCAGGTGGATAGAGTGGTCAAGAAGGCATATGGCATGCTTTCATTCATTGGACGGGGTATTGAGTACAAGAGTTGGCAGGTCATGTTGCAGTTGTATAGGACTTTGGTTCGACCACATTTGGAATACTGCGTACGGTTCTGGTCGCCACATTACCGAAAGGATGTGGATGCTTCGGAGAGGGTGCAGAGGAGGTTTACCAGGATGTTGCCTGATATGGAGGGTGCTAGTTATGAAGAGAGGTTGAGTAGATTAGGATTATTTACATTAAAAAGACGGAGGTTGAGGGAGGACCTGAGTGAGGTCTACAAAATCACAAGAGGTATATACAGGGTGGATAGCAAGAAGCTTTTTCACAGAGTGGGGGACTCAATGACTAGGGGTCACGATTTCAAGGTGAGAGGGGAAAAGTTTAAGGGAGATATGCGTGGAAAGTTCTTTACGCAGGAGGGTGGTGGGTGCCTGGAACGGGTTGCCAGCGGAGGTGATAGAGGCGGGCACGATAGCATCATTTAAGATGTATCTAGCCAGATACATGAATGGGCAGGAGCAGAGGGATACAGATCCTTGGAAAATAGGCGACAGGATTAGATAGAGGATCTGGATCGGCGCAGGCTTGGAGGGCCGAAGGGCCTGTTCCTGTGCTGTAATTTTCTTTGTTCTTTGTTCTTTGTTTGTTCCTAAAAGTAGCAACAATCTCTCCACATGTATCCTGACAAGTCCCCATGAATCTTATGTGTTTCAATATGGTCACCTTTCATCCTTCTCAACTTCTACAAGTACAGGTCCGGCCTACTCAATCTTTCCTCATAAATCAATCCCTCCACACCTGGAATCAGTCAAGTCAACCTTCTCGGGGCTGCCTGCGATACCATTATATCTATTCTTAGATCAGGGACAAAACTGTTCACAATATTGTAGGTATAGTTTAACTGGCGGCCCATATAGTTTTAGCCTAAGTTTATAATTTTTATACTCCTTTTATCCTGTGGGTAGTTAGCACTGCTGTCTCACAGCACCAGGGACCTGGGCTTGATTCCACACTCAGGCAACTATTTGGAGTTTGCTCATTCTCCCTGTGTTTGCATGGATTTCCTCTGGTTTCCTCTCACAATCCAAACTTGTGCTAGTTAGATGAATTGGCCATGCTAAATTGCCCATAGCGTCCAGGGATATGCAGGCTAGGTGAATTAGCCATGGGAAATGCAGAGATAGGGTAGGGGGTTGTGTCTGGGTGGGATGCTCTTCAGAGTGTTGGTGCGGACTTGATGGGTTGAACAGCCTGCTTCCACACTGTAGAGATTCTATGATTCATTTTGAAATAAAAGCCAACATGATACTTGCCTTCCCTGAACTTATATGCGAGCTGTTTGTGATTTACACACAAGGATTCGCAAATCCTTCAGTGCTGCGAATTTTTGTAGTCTTTCTGCATCTAGATAGTCTTCAGTTCCTATTATATAATTGTTTGTGGCCTTGTTTAACTTGTCTACATCCCTCTGCAGATTCTGTGTGTTACCCTCGCCACTACATTTGTGTGATACCTGGTGATGGTACGTTCACTTTTCTCATTCCGGTCTTTAGATTCAGCCTTTCCATTGGCCAGACAATTGATATGCCAGCCTAGATTGGAGTTGTACATGGGGACCCTGTGGAATCAGCTGGAAAACTGAATTTTCCGCTCAGCAGTTTCTATCCTCTTGGGCCTCTCCAGAGGTCTCCTTTTAAATCAGAGACTTTGGAGGGTTCCAATAAAATTAAGTATAATAGTTACTCAGGATAGGTTAGACTACTAAATACATAGTCAAAATCCTGACTAGCTATTTAGCAGAGCCCGTACTTAACTCACGCACCCCTAACTACCCCACCCCGCACCAGAAGCTGACCTAACATCCACCGGAGATCCAACCCCTTTCCACTCACCTCCAAACCTGATCCAACGTCCTGCACAACCCAACCCTCCCAGGACCTGAACACGATTTGCCCCTGCCCATCTGGACACCCGTCCCTTCAAACCCCGTCCCCCCACGCCCACCCAATCCCACCTCTGTGAGAGAGATGGCCATTCCTTGGGCCCATCAACATCCAGGATGAAGTGAAAACTTCCAGCAGGAGAGGTGAGCTTACGTCAATGCTGAGAACTCACTCTAGCACTTCTTTGTTTTTACCTTTATAATCATGTTTGTTTCATTTCCCTGCATCGTTGGAGTCACAGTGTCCTGTTCCCCTTGAGACATGTGTTTGCTTTTCCATTCGGTGGTTGCTATATTTGTGGAAAACCCTTCAGTCGATGTACTTTGCGATGTTGTTTCATTAGTCTGAGGGCTGGCTGTTGTTGCTTGTGTGGCTGTGATGTTTGTGGCCGTGCTATTGAAAGACGTTGAATTGGATATCTCAGGAGCTTGTGTTGATCCCGATTCAACCTGGCCAGGATATGCTGCTGTTGTGGAGACAGGACTGGTGGTTTCTTTTACGCTCATGGTAGGACTGCTTTCTGTAAAGACATGGGTTTAGAATTTTTTTTAAAAATCACCACTATCGTCATCATATTATGTCCTATGCCTCTAACTTAATTGGCACTGTAGGAATGATTCAATATTATGGTCAAAATTTACACCTTGGCACTCCAGCCATTAAAGATTTGCTCTGTTGAGTGCACATGTCTCAGGATGAGTAGATCTTGCACTATGGCAAATTTTGCAATTACCAATATTCTTTCCACGCTGCACTCTTACCTAGGGATTGGCTGTTCCTTTGAACTATGACTTGGTTGGTAACATACTCACCTCAGGTTATGGAGTCAAGTCCCACTCCAAAAGACTTGAGCACAATATCAATGCTAAAACACTCTGTCAAGTACAGGGGGAGAGCTGTACTCCTGGAGGTACTGTCTTTTGAGTTTACCATTAAACTGCAGTGAGTATACAACATCAATGGCCTTATTTCAATGCAGAACATAGGAATTATCCCCAGTGCCCTGGACCATAGGGACATAGAAATAGGAATAGGCCATTCAGCTCCTTAAGCCTGATCCATCCTTCAAAGAAATCCTGGTTGATCTGTGGCTTAATTCCATACACTTGCCTTTGGCCCATACCCCCTTATGCCGTTGCTAAACAAACTTTTATCTCTCTCCGATTTAAAATTAACAGAACTCACTGCCATTTGTGGAAGAGTGTTACAAGCTTCTACTACTTCTTCCCTTAAACAACTGCACAAAGTCAGAGAGTATGCAATCATTATTATCTTAATTGTTGTTGTACCTTGATTTATACAAATTAGTTGCTGTGTTTTCCAGATTATGTCTATGAGTACGCTTCAAGGAAAGTATTTAATGGCTGTAAATTCAGTTGTGACATCCCGAAATTGTGTACAATTCTGTACAAATGCAAGTTCTCTTGGCATTGAAAGATGTTAATTGGGCAGACAGGGTTTATGAAGCTGGGCCAAATTAATCTGGCATCTTGGATTGGGCTAAATGAGGGCAGCATGGTGGCTCAGTGGTTAGCTCTGCTGCCTCACTGATTCCAACCTGTCTGTGTGGAGTTTGCACATTCTCCCTGTGTCTGCGTGATTTCCTGCTCCCACAGTCCAAAGATGAGCAGGCTAAGTGGATTAGCCATGGGAAATGCAGAGTTACAGGGATGGGGGGTGGGCCTGGGTGGGATGCTCTTTGGTGGGTCGGTGTGGACTCAATAGGCCACATGGCCTGCTTCAACATTGCAGGGATTCTATGAAGTGTTGTACCGAGCTGTACATGGTAATGGTTCTGAAAGAGTCAGTGTTTGAGCTTTGCAAGTCCAACAATGTCGGAGATTTATTCATAGACCATCCTCCACCACAGACCGCTGTAGCACTCCTTTAGACCAGCACTGGAAGGTGGATTGCTGGCAGTATTTGAATCCAACCACAGCCACCAGGTGTCATATTGGTATACTACACAAACATCAATCTGTTGTGACCTCCCACTGTGAACATGTACCCAGACTGAAGTCTCATCGGTCCCCATAACCACAGGGGTTACAACGAAGGAAAGCTGAAGAGTTGTCGATCCAATGGGTGTAATGCATTGTAGTTCCAAGCTGCCACTCCACCTCATGAGATGAGGTGCCCCTTGCTTCCCTATTGTACCCTCAACATCAAGTTCTCAGTCCCAGCTGGGACCAGTGTGAGGAGGCTGAAGGTTTCTTCTTTATTGAATATGTGTGCACTTCACCATTTGGGGGAAATAAAACATGTTTTTCTCTTCAAGCACCCAGTCTCAATGTAACACTTTGCCAGTGTCAGTCAGGTTTACAATGAAGCTCCATTAGCTTCATGCCACTCAGTGCCACTCAGGACACGTGGAGGAAGATTCCCCTGTATCCAGCAGTAAGTGAGGAATAATGTATATTCAAGGTTCAGTTTGTCAATAGCCATGGGAAATCCCATGAAAGCAATGATTTCAGGAAAGGTTCTTGTGGCACAGTGATAGTGTTCCTACCTCTGGACCAGAGGGCCAGGGTCCAAATCGCCTAGTTAAACCACACCTGGAAACTGTGAACAGTTTTGGCCTCCTTATCTAAGGAAAGATATCCTGGCATTGGATGCAGTCTAGAAAATGTTCACTCAGCTGAACCTGGCTATGGAGGGATTGTTTTATGAGGAGACGTTAAGTAGATTGGGTATGTACTCATTGAAGTTTGAAAAAATGAGAGGCAATCATATTGAAAAGTACAAGATTCTTAGGGGACTTGACAGGTTAGATGCAGAGAGGTTGTTTCTTCCTTGTGAGAGTGTCTAGGACCAGACGGAATAATTTCAGAATCAGGGATTGCACCTTTATGACAAAAATGAAGAGGAATTTCTTTTCTCAGGGCATAGGAATTTGTGGAATTCTTTACCACAGAAGGCTGCAGAGAATGAGTCATTAAGTATATTCGAGGTTGGGGTTGACAGATTTTTAATCAGTAAGGGAATCAAGGTTGAAGAACATTTACAGACTATACCATTACTGTTGGTCAAATCTCGCTGTATGGAAGGTTTCCCCATGTGTATGTTTCCTACATTGAAGCAGTGACCACATTTCATAAATTGGCTATTAAACTCTTCAGGATCTTCTGAGGTCATGAAAAGGGCTGAATAAATACAAGTTTTGTCTTCTTTTTACTCAAAGTGCATTGGCTCTGGAAAGTGACAAAGGCCAAACTATTGAGATCAAATGTATTGAAGATAAATAGGTCTATAGGATGACTTCATTGATTGCTCCTTTTTTTACATGAAAATTCATGTATTCTACACAATTTCTTATTAAACCACTGACATGGGGAGCAAAATTCTGAGGTTATTGCAGATATTTTCATCAACCTGTTCTGAAGTATCATGAAACAATTTGAACTTGGTTCATAAGCCTTGGGCTGACAAGTGGCAAGTGACATTCGTGCCACACAAATGCCAGGCTATGACCATCACCAATAAGAGACAATCTAAACACCGTCCCTTGACATTCACTGGTGTTACCATCACCAAATCTCCCACTATCTACATCCTGGGGGTTATCATTGACCAGAAACTCAACTGGACTCACCACATTAACTCAGTGGCTACAGGAGCAAGTCAGAAGCTAGGAATACTGCAGTGAGTAACTCACCTCCCGACTCCTCAAAGCCTGTCCATCATCTACAAGGCACAAGTCAGGAGTGTGATGGAATAAACCCCACTTGCCTGGATGAGTGCAGCTCAAATAAGAAGCTTTACACCATCCAGGCCAAAGCAGCCCACTTGATTGGCACTACATCTACAAGCATTCACTCCCTCTCTAAGTAGTTATCAATGATTTACAATATTTGCCAGGTATTCTTATTTTTTCACTAAGGGAGATGGCAGTACATTGGGAACACCACTGGGCAAGCAATCCAGAAGCCCAGGCTAATATTCTCTAGACTTGGGCTGATCATAGTATCCCTACAGTGTGGGAACAGACCATTCAGCCCATCGACACCGACCCCTCCAAAGTGCATCCCACCCAGACCCCACTCGCCGACCCTATCCCCATGGGAGATGGTGAATTTGAATTCAATAAAACAAAATCTGGAATGATAAAGCTAATGGGGACCACGTAACCACTGCTGCTGGGCGAAAAAACCCATCTGGATCACTAACATCCTTTAGGGAAGGAATCCTGTACCCCAGCCACTGCCCCACCTTCTGGACTGTGACCCCAGATCCACAACAATATGGTTATATTGCATTGAAGGATGGGCGGTGAATGCTGGGAGAGCCAGTAATGCCCACATCCAATGAGCGAATAAACAAAATAATCTGCAATTGAAAAGTCAGTCTCAGTATTGATGATCATGAAACTATCCAGTTCAATAATGTCCTTTTAGGGAGGAAAGCTGCTAACCCCACGTGATCTGGCCGACACATGGCTCCCGACCCATTGTCGTGTGCTTCTCTCTCAACTGCTCTTCAGGCCAATAAGGGCTGCCTTACCAGAGGTGTCCATGTCTCATGAAAGAAAACAAAAAGTCCCATGGGGCTTCCAGTCCCCTTTTTGCCCATACTAGTGTCATTTTCCTGCAAACTCATTTAGAGATGATGAAGTTTGTGTTCGTGCACAGACAGCACATTATATCAGTCTGCTGCCTCTTCTGCCCATTTGGGGGCAGTGTGGTGGCTCAGTGGTTAGCACTGCTGCCTCACAGCACCTGAGACCTGGGTTCAATTCCTGCCTCAGGCAACTGTCTTGTGCGGAGTTTGCATGTTCTCTCTGCATCTGCATCTGGGTTTCCTTCAGGTGCTTTGGTTTCTTCCCACAGTCTAAAGGTTAAGTGGATTGGCCATGCTAAATTGTTCATAGTGTCTAGGAATGTGCAGGATAGGGAGACTAGCCATGGGAAAATGCAGGGTTGCAGGGGTGGGGTGAGGTGGGTTGGGCCTGGGTCCAATGTTCTTTGGCAGTTTGGCATGGACTCAATGGGCAAAATGGCTTGCTTCCACACCTGTAGGGATTCCATGATTATAAATTACAACGATCAATGCGAGATGTTCAATATTATGAAAGGTTTTGCTATATTCAATAGAAAACACAATTAAGCTACTTGAATAAAAACTAGAAGGGAAATGAGAAGAATTTATATTTTCCACAGCGAGCTGTGATGATTTGGAATAGATGTTCTGAATGGTTGGTGAAAACAGATTCAGTAATAACATATAGGCTTTCATAGAATCCCTACAGTGTGGAAACAGGCCATTTGGCCCAACAAGTCCACTGTCCCTCTGAAGAGCATCCCACCCAGACCATTCCCCTACCCCTGATTTCCTCCATGTCTAACCCACCTAACCTAAACGTACCTGGGCACTATGGGCAATTTAGCAAGGCCAATCCACCTAACCTGCACATCTTTGGACTGTGGGAGGAAACCAGCGCACCCGGAGGAAACCTATGCAGACACGGGGAGAATGTGCAAACTCCACACAGACAGTCGCCCGAGGCTGGAATCGAATCTGGGTCCCTGGCGCTGAGAGGCTGCAGTGCTGACCACTGAGCCACCGTGCCGCCCATGTGGCTATCGGAAATAAACCTGAAAAGGAACATAAATCCAGTGCCAAAGGAATACAGCAGGGGAATTGGGACTAACTGGATACCACATTCATAGATCACAAAGAGATTGAACTGCTTTCTTCTGGCACTTTACAATTCTACAAGCCTACTTACCAGTACTAGATGTTTTTGTAGAGCCTTGAGTTGTAGAGTTTTGGGTTGTTGAGGCAGTGCTATCAGTTGGATGAGGAGCAGATGATGATGTGGCATTTTTAGGTTGAACAGATGTGGTGCTGTTCTGATCTGGGGTTGTTGTTGTTGTTGTTGAGACATCAGTTGGATTATTTTTTCCCATACTTGTTGTTGCTGTAGGTGCAGTGACTGTACCTGACGTCACTGTGGATTGTTTGGTTGCAGCAGTAAGATTTCTTTTCTCATTTTCAGCAGGAGAAGTTGTAACACTATTAGTCACTTGTATCATAGTGCTGAAATCTGACGGACTGGTGACTGAGCTAACCGTCTGTGTAGTTACATTGGAGGTATGGTTTGTTTTTAAAGCAGTCATTGGAGTTTCTGCAGAGATGAGGTTTAGAGAAGTGGTTGACCAGGAACCTGTTGAAATAATGAGAGTCAGGTTATTACAGTAAGAAGAGAAGGTTATTCGTTTCCCCCTCAGGCATCCTCCACTACTCAATCAGACCTTGTATCTTATCATCTATTTGGCCAAGACCGAGGATGACAGAAGGCCTTTGGCTCAACAAGAGTCTTGCTTTCATGTCTGACTTTTTTGGATGATGTACTCCCCCACCATCATCCCTTGTATTGATGGTTGATTTAGGTATGGTTCTATATCAATTGAGAAAGAGAACTAAGAGATGTACTGATAACAGTTTGTTAGTTTTATTCAGGGGAGTTTGGAATGAAATTCAGGAAATGTTTTTTTTCAAATTTACTTCTGGATTCCAATGTTGGATGGCTACAGACTTTGCATTTGCATGGAGAGTGTATAGAATCATATAACTTTACATTACAGAAGAAAGCTTGTCAGCTTAGTCTGACCATATCTGGCTTGAATGTCCAGGGGTCACTGACGGGATCAGCAGTGGGAAATCTACATATCTTGCATCAGTCTTTATGGTTAAAGATACTTAAAACATTCTATCAATACAGTAAACTTCTCATTAACAGGCATCTACGGGAGCAGGACTGTGCCAGTTGATCAAATATTCCGAATAATCAAGAAGTCCACATAATCAATGTAGAAACACACACTAAGTAATAGAAACATAATGCAGGGGGTATATACATTACGTTTATACTTTATATACAGCATAAATCACTTAAATAATAATTCAAATTTGCCTTAATTAAAATTTACCAGCAGAGAGCTTTCTCACCCACACCCTCAACAGACTGCTCAGACAGTACAGCAGATTGCAGTATTTGAGGAGAAACTGACATGAAATGTTTGCTTGTTTATTGAGAGTGCTGGTTAAAACAAAAGTTTGCTGAACTAAAAAAAATACCGGGAGGAATTAAGTTACCTGTCACTAGAGAAGTAGTATTGGACAAACTAATGGGGCTAAAGGCAGACAAGTACTCTTGCCCTGATGGCTTGCATTGTAAGATCCCAAAAGAGGCAGTTACGGAGATGGTAGATGCATTAGTTATAATTTTACAAAAGTCACTGGGTTCTGGAGAAGTACTAGAGGATTGGAAAACTGCTAATGTGACATCCCTGTTCAAGAAGGAAGGGAGGCAAAAAGTGGGTGACTGTAGGCTGATTAGCCTGACATCTACTGTTGGAAAAGTCTTGGAATCACCTATTAAGGAAATGATAAAGGAACATTTGGAAAATCATAATCCAATCAAGCAGAGTCAGCATGGCTTTGTGAAATGGTAATTGTTTCTGACTAATTTATTAGAGTTTTTGGAGGAAGTCACAACCAGAGTGGATAGAGGAGAACCAATAGATGTATTGTATTTGGACTTCCAGAAGGCATTTGAGAAGGTAACTCACAAAAGTTTAAGTCATAAGACAAGAGCCCATGCTGCTGGAGGTAGTACGTTGACATGGATAGAGAATGGGCTCATGGACAGGAAACAGTGAGTGGGGATAAAAGGGTTATTTTTCAGGTTGGTGACCCGTGACCACAGGGTTCCGCAGGGATCAGCGCTGGGATGACGACTGTTTATAATAAATATTCATGACTTGGAGGAAGGAACTGAATGCATTTAACCACATTTGCAGACACCACTAAAATAGATCGAAAGGTAGGTTGTGAGAGGGATACAAACAGTTTACAGAGAGATATTGATAGGTTCAGTAAATGGGCAAAAAGTTGACAAATGGAGTAGAATGTAGGAAAATGCAAAGTTGTTCATTTTGGAAGGGAAAACAGAAGAACAGAGTATTACTTAAATGGAGTAAAACTGCAGAAACCAGCAACCCAAAGGAATCTGCAAGTATTTGTGCATGAAACACAGAGAGCTAGCACACAGGTACAGCAGGTAATCAGGAAGACTAATGGAATGTTGGCCCTTATTTCAAGGGGGTTGGAGTATGAAAGTATAGAAGTCTTACAGCAATTTTACAAGGTGCTAGTGAGACCACATCTGGAGTATGTTGAGCAGTTTGGGTCCCCTTATTTAAGGAAAAATAGCATTTCATTGGAGGCAGTTCAGAGAAGGTCCACTAGGATGGTCCCTGGTATGGAAGGACTGTCTTATGAACAAAGGCTAAACAGGTTGGGACTCTACTCACTGGAGTTCAAAAGAATGAGAGATGATCTCATTGAAACATATAAGATTCTTGAGGGGGTTGACAGGATAAAGGCTGAGAAGATGTTTCCCCTCACGGGAGTGTCTAGGACCAGATGGCATAGTTTCAGAATAAAGGGATGCCAATTTAAGACTGAGAGGAGGAGGAATTTCTTCTCTCAAAGAGTTGAGAATCTTTGGAATCCCTTGCCACAGAGAGCTGTGGGTGTAGAGTCTTTGTGCATATTTAAGGCTGAGAGAGATAGATTCTTGATCAGTAGTGGAATCAAGGATTTCAGGGAAAGGGCAGAAAAGTGGACGAGCGTAATGCCAGATCAGTCATGATCCTACTGAATGGCAGAGCAGGATCGAGGGGCTGAATAGCCTACTCCTGTTCCTATTTTTTAAAATCTTAAGATATCTCCCCCCTTCATTCATTCTAAAGACTACAAAATCTTCCAAGTATTGAGACCAATTAAAGCATCTCCATCTCCCTTCCATGTGCAGTCAATTAAATTTACCACAAACTGAGGTGGGCTAGCACAGGTGCATTTGACTCAGTTCTGTCATTGTCAGTGAAGTCCTTTTGTGAACCATAAGATTCTGCTTCAAATGAAATGCTCAATGCATAGTACGAATACTAGGTATGCTTTGTATCTCACTTGTGGCAATGGGCAGGAATACTCTGTACAGTTTTGGTCTCCTTATTTGAAAAAAGATATAACTGCACTAAAATTAGTTCAGAGAAAATTCACACAACTCATTTGTGGAATTAAGGGTACATCTTATGAAGCAGTTTGTGTCTATACCGGTTGGAGTTCAGAAGAGTGAGAGGCAATCTCATTGAAACATACAAGATCCTGAGGGGACTTGACAGGGTGAATGACTGGGAGAATTCTGTGCGGACCACTAGAAATAGGAGACCCAGTTTTAGAATAAGCGATTTCCCTTTTAAGATGGTGATGGAGAGAAACATTTTCTCTCAAAGAGTCATTAATGTGTGGAGTTCTCTTCCCCAGAAAGCAGTGGAAGTTGGGTCTTTGAATCTTTTTCAAGGCAGAGTTGGATTTTTGATAGACAAAAACATCAAGGGTAATGGGAGGGCAGGCACGAAAGTAAAGTTCGGATCACAACCAGGCAACCTACAATCTCGTTCAATGGTGAAACAGACTCAAAGGACGAACAATCTGTTCCCACTCCCCCAGTCCAATGTCCCTATTCCTTCTGCAACAAACGTTCCTCTGGTAGATTCACAGTTTCTTCAAAGCATCAACCGTGTAACTTCTTTGGCAGCATGTAGGGCATATTAGGACCTTCCAGATCATCTAGAAAAAGCAGCTAATTCTAGAGGATCTGTGAAGGAGGTCTGCCAGAGAATTCTCATTGAAAACAGACACTGCATAACTGGTGCAAAGAGATTCCCTGTTTCGTTTGCTAGGTCAGTTGTTAACTTTATGTCTGAGGTAGATACATTTTTGTTAAGCCAAGGTATTAAGGGATATGGACCAAAGGCAGGTATATGGAGTTAGGCCACAGATTAGTCACTATCTAACTGAATGGCAGAGCAGGCTTGAGGGGCTGAATGGCCTACTCCTGTTCCTCTGTTCAAAATGTCTTACCGACTGGTCTCGATATGTTGAGTTCCCATCTGTGAATGAACTCCTCAGAATCTGGTGTCTTACAACAAATTAGACAAATTAAGGATTTATACAGCACATTTCTTCAGGCATTTATTGAAGTACAATTATTTATTTAACATTAGGAAATGCAGCAACTTCATTCACATAGAACAGGATCCCAAGAACAGCATTGAGGAAAATGGCCGAATAATCTGTCTTAGTGGTACTGGTCCAAAGATCAATAAAGGTAGACCTAGAGGATGGCACAGTGGCTCAGTGGTTAGCACTACTGCTTCACAATGCCAGGGATCCAGGTTCAATTCCACCTGAGTGGAAGTTTGCACGTCTCCCCATGACTGTGATGGTTTCCTCCCACAATCCAAAGGTGAATTGACCACGCTAAATTGCCCATCGTGTCCAGGGATGTGCAGGTTAGGTGGGTTCGCCATGGGAAATGTAGGGGTAGGGGGTTGGGTCTGAGCAGGTCACTCTTTGGAGGGTTAGTATGGACTTGATGGGCTGAAAGACCTGCTTCCACACTGTAGAAATACTATGAATCAGGACCATAGGCCTGCTGTCTCATTAAAGAGGGTGGACTGGTGATGACCTTAACCTGAGGGTCACCGTGAGGTGTGGTTGAGAAGGTGGGACCTTCATGGTGACTTTAGCTGGTACAAGATTTAAACCCCCACTGTTGGCATCCCTCTGCTTTGTGAATGCAGCTATCCAGTGAGCTGAGCCAACTGGCCAAATGACTGTGTTCTTCATAAAATATTGTTAATCAAACTTTCATATTGACCCGAGAGAGGAGATGGGGCTTAACGTTTCATTGGAAAGACAGCACCTTTGACACAGCGGCAGTCCCTCATTATTGCAGTAAAACTTTTAGCCTAGTCTGCATACTCTGGAATGGGGCTTGAAGTCACAGTATCAAATAGAAATAGTTATTTAATTTCTACAGAGTATGTTTGCTAAACAGGCACAGGGAAAGATTGTAACGTTTTAATGTTGTTAATTAAATGATTGGTTTAAATAGTGGTTTAAGGATAACCATTAATGTCCTTCTCAGTCATTAATAACTGGGATACATTGAGATGGGCATCTATGAGCTCAGAATTGCTGAGAAACCCTGGGTGGACATCGAATGTGATATTTTATTGGTAGAAGAAACGCAGTTGGATGTCAGGAAGGCAAGTCAACAAAAGGGGGCACATTGTCAGTGCTTCTGTCCTGATGAGCTGGGAGTATTGGCACAGGATTTGCTGGCACCCATAGCGAGCTGAATCTGGCAGACCGACGCACCAAGCCCATCATAAAAACTCCATCAGCGACAAGGATTTCCATGTTTGGTTTCAGTAATGAATGCAGAACTTTGGACACACATGATTAGTACAAGGTCATCTTTTTTTAGTGTGTGCAGGATGTCCAAAATGATGCAGTGTGAACCGGAAACTGGATCGTTGTATCCCACCCTCTGACTCCAGTCTAGCCACCTCCAGCCCTAGGAAATCAGGAGGAACTGGGAGAGAGAGCACGCAGTGTGAGGAAAGAGGAGCAAATGGCATTGGCAGCAGAGGAGCAGCAGCTAAGTGGTGAAGATGGGCCAGATTATAAAGGTGCAGAGTTTGTGTATCGTCTTTGAGAAACTCCTCCCAGCATTTCATTGAAAATTGAATTTTGGGTTTACATTTACAATTCACTGAGACAATTATGAAAAACATGGTTATGTTCTTCGAGGGTGTCATTGCACAATCCTCATTCATATCCTTAAAGGACTTAAAAGGGTTTATGAATGGGCTTATTGGTTCTCAAATCATGCAAACTGTTATTTTAAGAGGTCTCTGGGTAAACTCTCATACCATCTTTTATTGTTGTCCACCAGCATTTCACCCACTACGGGTATGAAAGTATGTCGTAGCCTTAGAGGCTATTTTTTTGGTTAATGATGAGTGGCATCAAGGTTTGTGGAGAAATTCTCACTCTGAGGCTACCTATAAGCTTTTGTGGACCTGGACCAGCACGGTCAGTCTGGAACAGCCCAATACAGTTTCTGACATTTGTCCTGGATGGGGACCTGGAGTTCCTGCTGGACAGGGCGGTACAGATACAGGGCTTACTGTTTCCCCCAGCATCATCAGTGAAGACCACGACACCAGCCTGGTCGGGGGATGCCACCAGGGTTAGAGCATCTCAGCCAGCTGGGGGAACGCCATAAGAGTGTAGGAAGAAGGTCAATGTCCTTCTCCATTTCTCCAGTGTGAGAAACATGAGAGCCATGATCTCCTTTTTGAAGCCTCACACTCAGTCCACCAAGACTCATGCTCTACCGCTTTCTCACTATTGTCTGTATCATCTTCCCCATTCACTCTCACTTACCCCAACATCACTAACCCTGCATGCCTTCTGCGCTGTCTACCCGCTCACACGGGTCATCTGCCTACCTGCACTAAAAGTATCAGCTGTGCCACCCACTTTCATCTCTTGTAATACTTCCCTCCCTCAATACAGAAAGACAACAGCCTACAATAGGGTAGAAAGAGACAAGATGGGTGGTGGGCTGCCCAACATTCAGCTCTTCATCCATTGTGTGGAAAGGATGCCAACTCTGGCTATCCCAAGCATGACTGTGTCCGCATTCCCAGACTGGTATCAGGTTCTGCCCTCAACATACTGTGCAGGAAAGTCATCTCCCTTGTCTGAACTGATGATTGCTGACAACGATGACAAGCTCCTGGCTCTTTGTGTCTGCACCAAGCAGAAAGGCAAGACATAAATAACAAGAAGCCTAGTAGTTATGACTGAGGGGGGAAACAGGCAAAAAGACAACTTACGGCAACATAAAGCAGGAATGTTGTGAGCATCGAGGTAGAGTCAAAGTGAGGGAATGCTAAGACTGCAAGTGAAGAGCTTGAGGTACAGCCTAGTCCGGTTCTTGAGCTGAGTGCATGTCTGTGTGCACGTATCCTTACAGCAGTATTACAGTGATATTTGCTGGTACAGCACTGAAGTACCAAAGTGTATAGTAAGTGAGACAACAAGGTGCAGGGCTGGATGAACACAGCAGGCCAAGCAGCA